AAGGTTTCTGACTGCTGATTTAATCTCCTTATTTATTATTGGTTTTTTAAGCTTTCTACTTTTTCTTAATTCAGTCTTGGTATGTTGTATGTTTCTAGGAATTTATCTGTTTATTCCAGGTTATCCAGATTATGGGCATATAATTGTTCATAGTAGTCTTTTATAATCCTTTTTATTTCTGTGGCATCACTTGTAAGGTTTCCACTTTCACTTTTGATTTTATTTATTTGAGTTTTCTGTTTTTTTCCCTTAATTATTCTAGCTAAAGGTTTGTCAATTTTGTTGATCTTTTTTTTAAAAAAAAAAACATCAACAGTTAGTTTCACTGATTTTTTTCCTATATTTTTCTATTCTGTATTTTGTGTGTTTCTGCTCTAATCTTTATTATTTCCTTCTTTCTGCTAACTGCAGGCTTAGTTACTGATTCCTTTTCTAGTTCCTTGAGGTATAAAGTTAGGGTGTATATTTGGGGTCTTTCCTCTTTTTTTTTTTTTTTTTAGCTGAGCCATCCCGCCACCTGTTGGCAGCTCACGGCTGCTCAGCTCGGGCTGACTCGAACCACTGTTGCTCAGAGCTCAAACTCTTGAGCGAGCTCTTAACCAACTGAGCCACTCAGCTGGCCCTGTCTTTCCTCTTTTTTAATGTAGGCATTTACTGCTATAAACGTCCCACTGAGTACGCTTTAGCTGTACCCCATAAATGTTGGTATGTTGTATATTTGTTTTCATTTGGCTCAAGGTATTTTTCTTTTTATTGATTTCTCCCTTGCTTTCTTCTTGGGCCATTTGGTTCTTCAAGAGTGTGTTATTTAATTTCCACGTATTTGTGGATTTTCCAGTTTTCCTTCTGAATTTTCTAGTTTCATTCCATTGTGGTTGGAAAAGATAGTTGGTGTCATTCATTCTTTTCAGATTTGTTAAGACTTGTTTTATGACCGAACGTGTGAGGGCTCCTTATACACGTAAGAAGAATGTCGATGCTACTGCTGTTGGGTGAATGTTATTGGTTTCTGTTTATTATGTAACTCAAAACATTGATTGTTTTGCAGGCATGGCAATGTTACCTCTTCCTTTCAAATAGTTTTATCTGTTATTTTTCTCTTTTTTTTTAGCAGTATTTAATAACTTGTGATAGCAGATGTATTTGTTTTTTTCTCTGACTTAATGAATGCGCAACTTCAAATTATTCATTGTTAAATATGATTTTTCTATGTACTTTATTATGTCGTACAGGAATATCCACATTACAGACCCAGGTTATTTTTCCTCTCTTACAGCTGGTCACCTTCACTGTCACTGCCGTGGCCCCACCACACTCACACCTCCGTGAGAATGTGCACACGTACACTCCCCTTACGTTACAGCTGTATCGAATTGCTTGTAGTTTCCTGAGTACCCCACTTCTGTGGTGGGCTCTCACATTACCTATGGCTCTTTCTGGCTCTTTGGCCCCTATGCCAGGAACACCTTCCCTTGCTTGTCCTTTCCTCTTGCTCTTAGGTACCAGCACATCTTGTGCATCACCACTCACTAACCACCTGTCTTCTTTGGTCCTCTTCCCAAACTTACCGTTGTTTTTCTTAGAACACCACTGCGCTCAGTGGACAGTTGTTCTTCTCTCTTTACCGCTAACGCTTAGTTACACTTATTCACAATAGCAAGGTTCCCCGCCACTGGAAGTTCCTACCACTCCACGACTTATTTCTACTTCAGTAGCGTGCATAGTAGACTTCTTAACTCAGTGTTTGTTTTCAAATAAATGATCAACTTGTGAAAATTAAGTTTTTGTATTAGTGGTATATATATTTGAAAAATGAATTTATTTGCTTTATAGGGGTATGCATTCCGTTTTCCAAACTGACTACATTTTCCAGCATTACTTAAGAATTAGAAGGTTGGAGACCCTCTTCCAATGAGTGAGATATTTGGGCCAATGCTTTTTAACAGGCATATATACAGTCGACCCTTGAATAGCACACATTTGAACTGCATATTTTTTCAATATATGCTGTAAATGTATTTTCTCTTCCTTATGATTTTCTTAACATTTTCTTTCCTCTAGCTTACTTTATTGTAAGAATGCTGTATATAATACATATAACATACAAAATACATGTTAATCTGCTGTTTATGTTATTGGTAAGGCTTCTGGTCAACAGTAGGCTATTAGTAGTTAATTTGCGGGCGAGTCAAAAGTTATATGCAGGTTTTCAACTGTTTTCAGTTGGCACTTCAACCCCCACATTGTTCAGGAATCAACTGTATATGCCTGTGCAGTTCAATAATGGTGAATTACATAATTTAGGTCCACCTAAGAACTACTAGAAAAGCAGGATGAAATGTTTAAAGAAAGAGGCTGCCAAGAGCCAATCAGGGTATGAAGAATTATGGGGCCAAAAGTATATGGAAAAAAAGAATAGAGAGATGAGCCCTACCTTTCACTAAAGGCACCTACCAGTTTTAGAAGCTGCGTCTGAGATGTTGAGATGTGGAGTAACTGTCAGAGCTGAGAGTCATATTCTGGAATCCAAGGTCAAAGAGAAGACGTGGTAAATCACTACATCTTAGTCTGGCACTCTAAGAGACTATACCCTAGAAGAGAGGGTGAACTAATAATGTGAAGGATTGAAATCCAGCCATAAATTATTTCAGACCTCAAATTTGGTTAACATGATCTACTTTTGCTAGGCTCCTAGGAGCCTTTTAAAAGCAAATATAAATAATGTTTAAAGGAAGATTATCTCTTCTCCTAGGCCCCAAACTATCTCTTTGCTTTTTCATGTGCATTGTTCAGGACTCATTAAAAACTAAGCAAGTACACAAAGATGCAAGACAATGTGGCTAAAACCACAGAAACAAAACAGACAACAGAATCAAATTTGTAAGGCACAGGTAATGGGTTATCAGACAGTGATTAAAAAAATTATGATAATGAAAATAAAGCATATCAAAATTTGTGGGATGTAGCTTAATGAGTGCTTTGAAGGAAATATATAACCTTAAATGCTTACATTTGAAAAGAAGGACATTTTCAAGTCAATAATCTATGCTTCTATCTTAAGATACTAAAAGAGTAAATCAAACCCAAGACAAACAGAAATAAGGAAACTATAGAGATCAGAAATCAGTGAAGTAGAAAACAGAAAAACAATAGAGAATAATCAATAAGCCAAAGCTGGTTCTTTGAAACAAAATTAATAGAATTGAAAACATCTTGGAAGATTGTTGAAGAAAAAAAAAGAGAGAAGACACAATTTACCAATGCTGATCCAAGAAAACATAGACAACTTCAGCAGCCCAGTATCAATGAACAAAATGGAGTTAGAAATTAAAACACTTTACTCAAAGAAAACTCCCAGGTCCAGATGGCTTCACTGGTATATTCTATTAACTATATAAAGAAATATTACCAATTCTAAACAATCTATTTCAGAAAATAATGGAAGAGAAAACACTGCCTAACTCATTTTATAAGGTCACTGTCACCCTCTTCTAAAATGCAGGCAAAGCTATCATAAGAGAAAACGATACTTGTGAACATAGATGCAAAATTTCTTAAGAAAATTTTGACAAATAGAATTAAAACAATATGTAAAAAGGATAGTACATCAAGACCAGATGGATTCAGTTGGATAAACATCTGAAAATCATTCAACTAAATTCACTATATTAATAGGATAAAAGAGAAAAATTACATGATCATTTCAACAGATGCAGAAAAAATATTTGACAAAATTCAACACCCTTTCATAATAAAAACGCTGTTGGCTAGAAAGAGAAGGGAACTTTCTTGAATAAGGTTATCTGCAAAAAAACCTTACAGCTTATGTAATACTTAAAGGTAAAAGGCTGAATGCTTTCTCCGTAAGTTCTGGAACAAAGTAAGTGTCTCCTCTCACCACTTTCATTTAACACTGTAGTGATGGTATTATAAGGCAAGAAAAGAAATAAGCAAACAGATTGGAAAGGAAGATGTAAAACTGCCCTTATTTGTAGAAAAAGTGTTTGCATGTGTAGAAAATCCAGAAAAATAAATGCTACTATACCTAAGAAATTAATTTAGTAAGGCTGCAGGATACAAGGTCAACACAATAAAAAACTGTATTTTCTACATACTAGCAAGAAAAGTTTGAAAATGAAATTTTAAAAACCCTCCACAATAGCATAAAAGAATACTTAGAAATAAATTCAATTAAAGGTGTGCAAGACTTTTTCAAAGAAAATTACAAAACATTGCATTGGGAAATCAAAGACCTATACAAATGGAGAGCTATACCATGTTCATGGATTGCAAGACTTAATTTATTAATATGGCAATTCCCTCCAAATGGATCTGTAGAATCAATGCAATTTCATTAAAATTTCTAATAGACTTTAAGAAATCAACAAGGTGATTTTAAAATTTATATGAACATAAATGATCCTTGATCTGATAGGGCAACTGTTAAAAAACAAAAGCTTTTATTTTTTGGTGCACAAGAGACTTATTTAAGCTACAATTTATACCTATCATTTAAAAAAAAATGAAACTTACCTCTGATTTAGGAACAGTGAAAGTTTTGGGCTTTGAAAACCTTTTCTTAGAACTTCTGTTGGACCACAAAAAGATCTTGAGTATGTCAATGATGGACTTAAAATGGCTGAACAAAACATTTAAAAAGTGCAGCAGACTTTGTCGGTCAATTTACTTTATAGGTAAGATATGTACAGTCATTTAACTGCACTTTTAAAGAATTTTTAACTGAATTTCTTTATAATTCTTTTCTTCTTATTCTCATTTAACGTACCTCCAAATAAATACTGTGACAAACTTTAGGGCTGTAGTGTGAAATGCCTTTGGGATTAATTTCACCTTGGAGTAATGATGGGAGAATATGTGTACGTGTGTGTGTTATCTGTTATCCTGGAATAGACTTTGTTTGTGTATATTTCACATTTTATAAAAAGGAAATATGTGAATTATTTACCTTTATTAATGAGAAGTTGTACCTATTTTTATAGGGAAGAATGGACAGAAGCTATTCAGGCGGTAGCAGACAGACTTCAGAGGCAAGAAGAGGAGAGAATGAACTGTAGTCCAACTTCGCAAATTGATAATATCGGGGAGGAAGAAATGGATGCTTCTACAACTCATCACAAAAGAAAGGTAGAAAATAATAACTTATTCCCTACAGCACACTTCTGTGCATGGAAGAAATATGCCCCAAACTGCCATTTGGAAAAAAATGCCAGCCAATGATCTTACATGGGTGTGGTCAGGTTTTATTCAGGTGAATCTGGAATTACCTGTCTTTGTTTAAAATCAAATAATCGAACCATCACTTCGTTTCAGCACTGAGCACCACGTGCTGATGGGGCTTGTTAGGGACTTGTGCCTGGTGTGCCATTACACTACTTTCTAACTTGCATTTTCCCCCTTATTGTTTTTAATACCATTTTAGAAATTTGGAAATAAAATGTTTCCCCTAATCATTTGGTCCTTTTCCATTTGGCATTCAGTGTGCTCCTGAAAGCAGATGCACAAATGGCTCTGGTGTACTTCCCGCTTGGGGCCCCAGCCTCACCAGTGTCAGCAGGAAAGTGAACAAACTTGGAAATAATCAGTTTTTATTTTAATGGCTGCTCCTGAGCCAATGAGGGAAACAGAATTTTCCTTCCCTCAGTGCTCCAGAATAATAAGTGCCAAGTTATATATTTATGGGCATTGTAAATTACATTTTTCTGTGCTGTGGAAAATTGAAAAGCAACTTCCTTACGTAAGAAATGGTATTTTAAGATTAATCTAAAGATGTAAGTGTTCAAATAGATGAACATACCACTTATCATGTTAGAATGTATTTGTTATAATAGATTGTAAATTAATCTTCAGGTAGGAAAACACCAATTTTTAAGGTAATTATCCATGTACTTTCGTATCAGCACAGTGATTCAGAGCTCTGGAGTTAGACTTCCTGAGTTCAAATCCCCCTTCTATGTGCCAAACGTGTGAACTAGGTGAAGATATACAGTCACAGCTTAGAGTTAATTATCTTTCCCTGAAATTTCAATTTTAGGTAGAATAATATTCTATGCTTGATCTTGGCCAACTGTATTGAGAACCCTTTGTGTCTTCCTTAAAGACTTGTTCTTTATTTGTTGGTTGAACTGAATCCCTCTTTTTTTTTTCTTTTCTTTTTTTTAAGTCGACTTAACCCCTTGGTCCTCAATCATTGCAATAATAAAAACAACCTAGTTTTGCCCACCTACGCAGAGATAAGGAAGCTTCTTTTCCAAATGTATGTGCACATTACACAATTAATTTGAGATTTAACTATGCTTATAATTTAAAACCAGGTTCCAATTAATCTTATCTTTTGAATTACAAACTACTCCATTCAATAACAAGTTATACCAGCTATACCCTGTTAAATTCTGTGGAATTCCTAAAATTCTGCTTAATCACAAAGATTAATAATAAGATACTGTTGAGGTAGTTAGAGGTTGAAAGTGGGGAGTCTATAACACCCTAACTAGAAATATTGTTATTAATGGATGGAAGAATTTTGGAAAGAATATGGAAATTTACCAGAAGAATGCTGAATAGAGACAAAACATGTAAAAATGGAAAAGTATGGGAGGATTTTTTTTTCTGTTATGTCTGGTTATAAATAATTACAAAAACAATACATTTTTCTCTTTTTACAATTACTGGTGTGGATTATTTTAGAATTCATCATCGTCACTAATTAACACTTCTAAGCATTTATTCTGAGCTTTTTTGTTCTAGGCTCTGAGCAGTATTTTTATATATCTTACCTTATTTAATTCTCATAAGAATCATCAGAGGTAGGTACTGTTATTATCCCATCTTGCAGTTAAGTCATCTGACATTCAGAGAAGTTAAATATGTTGTTTTTTTTTTTTTAGCTGAGCCATCCTGCCACCTGTTGGCAGCTCAGCGGCAGCTCAGCTCGGGCTGGGAATCGAACCACTGTTGGTCAGAGCTTGCACTCTTGAGCAAGCTCTTAACCAGCTGAGCCACTTGGCCGGCCCGAAGTTAAATACCTTGTTCAACATATAACTATTTTCAATTATTCACTGTACAACTTCAGTGTGCAATGTCTTTCTGTTTATTGATTCATATATCTTAAGCCTCACTAACCTCTATACCTGTTACACTCATAACATAACCAAGTTATTTTTAAAACAAAATAATACAGGTATTGTCTCCTGTGATTATACTCCATTTCTTGAATTATTATGTCAAACTGTTGGACTTAAACAATGTTTGGATATTAGGTCATTTCATCTTATATTAGAGCACTCTTGGAAAAAATCAGAATTTTAATATTACAGAATAGTGGTAGAAAATGATATCTTTGGGTCCTACAGCTTGGGTTCAAGTCCTGAGTCTACTATATGTGTAGTTATATGGAAAGTCTCTTAATCCCTCTGTTCTTTGGTCCCTTCATCTATAAAAAGGAGACAGCAGTGATACTTAACTCATATATAGTTGTGAGGATTAAAATGAGGGGATACGTGTCAAGTGCTCAATGACAATTAGCTATTATTGTTAGCTATTATTCTACTTCATCCACATAAAGATAGTTAAAAACGTACACATCTTTTTAAAGCAGATTCTCTGAGAATTCTCTCACTGAAGCTGAAACTGAGTCTGGAAAATGAAAACTTGATATGAGCACTTTGAATTTTGGGGGGTTCATTGTCTTACTTGGCCTGTATCTGATTTCCATTGTTCTTTTTTCATTTCGTTTCATTTCAAATTAAATAGCATAAAATAGTTTTAAATGACAAAGTTTTCAGAAAAAGATAGAGCATTGTACTACTTACTACCTATTCTAAAATGGTCCTAATAATGTGGTTAAAAATGGTGAAATATGCCCATCACTTCTCTAAGATATGTAAATGGCTCTAGAACTGTATGCTCTGTGTGTCTCAGTTCTCATAAAAAGAACTGTAGAAGTTCAGATTATTTTTAATTTCAGATTGTAAACACGGAGATTCTGAAATAAGGATATCCTTCCCCTAATTTGCAGAGCACGTTTTCTTCTCGTTCACTTTTTGAAAGTTGAGCAGAAGGAGAAGGAGAATGGCCCCTGATGATGGCCAGGGGTGCTCAGTTGTCTTCACCCCGTCTCCTGCCTGGGGCAGGCAGGTGTCACTTCTCTGAGTGCTGGGGGGGTTGCCACGGTATCTGCTCCGCAGGCCAAAATCCCTCTTGGAGAGGGCAAGACACTGCGTGGTGGGGAAAAGAGGCACAGGCCTCAGAACTCGATTTAAGCACTGTTCTGTGTTTCAATGAAAAGATGACGTCTCAAAAGGTTTCCTTAGAGGACTCAGAAGTGCAATTGTGGCTGTCAAGCTGCCATTCTCCATACCCTGTCAGGGGCATGAAGGGACGCTGCATAAAAGGATCAACAGCCAACTGAGACTCCAATTTGCTTAATTTTTTTTTTTTTAGCTGAGCCATCCTGCCACCTGTTGGCAGCTCAGTGGCAGCTCAGCTCGGGCCGGGAATCGAACCAGTGACCCTGTTGCTCAGAGCTCGCACTCTTGAGTGAACTCTTAACCAACTGAGCCACTTGGCCAGCCTATTTTGCTTAATTTTTAAGTGACCATGTTGGCCTCTCTGGGAGCAGCTGGTTATTGTCTCGCGATTTAGGTATAAAGTATAAGCCATACCTCCTGTCTTCCCGTTAAGTCTGACTCCAGTTCTTGCCATTTTGTTACCTACTGCTGCCTGGCTGCAGTAACTCCCAGCAATGGTGAGCATTAGGAGGAAGAGAAGGGAAGGGATGGTGGGACCTGCTGAGATCGTGTCACCTCTCACTGCTGCTCAGAGAGGAGGGAGCAGCATAAGCAGTGTAGACATTGACGGATCAGATCAGAGCTTCCCTTCCCTTGAGAAAGAGAACCAGAGGAAGCGGGAAGAGGTGAGGGCGCAGAGGTGACTTCCTGAGACCCCACCCCCTTTTTACTTAGTGTCCCCGGAGCTTTCTTTGGTTCTTACATTGTAAATGTATTTGGAATTTATCTTTTTTGACTAAATTTACTAATACCTTTGTATTCTTTTCCAAGAGATTCTTTGTGTATTCCTCTTCAATTATATATTCATATTTTAAACCTAATTTTTAGACTAGGCAGTCTTTTTTCTTATATTCTAGTTTGTGTGGTTTGAATATATTTATTAAGTGTTTGTTATATATGCACATGTATTCTTAACCTAAAACAGCCACATTGATATCTTACAGATTATGTAAAGGAAAGAGTATAGTTATGTGAAATACTTTCCTAATAAATTCTTAGGATTGGACTTTGGAGGATTAATTTTGCTGGAGAGTATCTATGCTCTCATTTTTTATTAATATCTTATTGTATCTTTTCCCTTAACACCATCCAAAAGAGGAAAACATTTTGTAATAGGTTACATTCCATTTGTAAAGACTAGATAATTACTATCTATACCGCCCTGAACATAAGCATTTGGTATCAAAACTACTCTTTAAAATGTTCTGAAGTTTTGTCAAAATAGATATGAAATCTGTTTCTGATTTTATCACGTAGAATGCTTTTTTTTACTAATATCAATTTCCATGCAAAGTCCTCTTTTTTTAAGGTTGACAGTCAAACTGACAGGAGCTGTGAAATGTAGAGTTAAGGCTGTCATGCTTTTAAAAAACCTCCTTATCCCTAAGAAGTGCAATCCTAAAGGAAGACAGTAATATTTTATAATTATGTATTGCTTTTCATCCAAAAACGTCATAAAGCAGCTTATAATTTTTACCCCCAAGAATTCAGTTTGAATTTATATGATATTTAGTGATAGGACACAGCAAGTATCATTTTCCAGTGCTTTTAGATTAAAAACAATAAAAATAAAGAGGGTCCTGCTCAAATGAAGCTTTAAGCAATAAAATAAAATTATGATTTATTGATGAGAATAATGTCTCTATTGCGATAGAACAAGCTACCCACGCTTAATGTCTTAAAACATTATATTATTTCTCATGATTTTGTGGTTTGTTTGGGCAGTTCTTGCTGGTCTCAAATGTATCTGTCAAACAGCTGCTTTCAACGGGCACGTGGGCTGGGCTGGAAAAGGCCAGAGAGCCTTCCTCAGGTGCTGGCTTCTTGGTCCTCCTCCACATGCTCTGTCTCTGCATGTGGTGTCTCATCTTCCAGGGCTTCTCAACATGGCCACTCTCTCCTGCAGAATAGCCTGGACTTCTAGCATAAGAGCTGGCTTTCAAGAATGACTTTTTAAGAGGCAGAGAGCCTAAGCTGACAGACATACAGCTGGGTCTGGAACTGGCACAGTGACGCTTTGATCCTATTCTGTGTTCAAAGCGGGACACAATGCCAGCCCAGGGAGCGGGAAAGTTTCCCCCTCTTAATGAGAAGTGGCATTGCACACAGGGAGAAGGGGAGTTAGTGCCATCCGTCGTTGGAGACTACCGAGCACAAATGGCTTTCTGGTTCTGTAGTATTCCTTGACTTTTAAAATCCATTCATGAAAATACAACTACCTATTATTGGTTCAAATGACGCTAGCTTTGTTAACTGCATTCCATATTTTAGCCTCACTTGTTTGATTTTTAGTTGAATTAATAAATGTACTTTGTTATTTTCCCTGATATCTTTTGCTACTTTTCTTTTGAACTAGAGATATTACTGAATGGCTAAATGCATTATAACTTGACATTTGGAAAAATTATCAAAAGTATAAGCAGCAAATAATGTTGAAAATGAACGTAAGCATCTATAAATTTTAGAATTTTTATATATATTTACATGAGAGATATTGGTCTGTAGTTTTCTTATAATGTTTTTCTCTGGTTTTGGTATGAGGGTAATGATAACCTCGTAGAATAAACTGGGGAGTAATCTCTCCTTTCTAATTTTATGTAGGAGTTTATATAGAATTGGTATTATTTCTTTCTTAAATATTTATAGAGTTCACTAGCAAAGCCATCTGGTCCTGGAGTTTTCCTTGTTGAAAGGTTTTTTGACCACAAATTCAGTGTCCTTAATGGACACAGGGCTATTTGAGTTGTTATGTACAGCAGGTCCCCAAATAACTTTTCATTCATTGTCATTTCATTATACTATTGATGAGCTGCTGTAAGAATGTAACTTGTGTTTATATCAGGTAGCCTGTGGTAAAATTGGTTTTGTTATAAGTCATTTCATTTAAAGTCACAGAACCTGTCAACAATGTTAAGTGAGGACTTACTGTATTTGTTCTTGAGTGAGCATTGATAATTTGAGACTTTCAAGGAATTTGTTCATTTCATGTAAGTTGTCAATTTTATGGATATAAACCTGTTCATAATAATCCCTTCTGATTCTTTTAATATCTGTAGAATCTGTAGTGCTGCCCCCTCTCTCTTTCCTGCTATTCATAATATGCATCTTCTGTCTTTATTTTTCTGACCATTCTGGGTAGAGGTTTATCATTTTATTCTCTTTTCAAAGAACCAGCTTTTGGTTACATTGATTTTTCTCTACTGTTTTTCATTCTTTTAAAAAATTTAATTGATTTGTTCTGATATTTATTATTTCATTTCTTCTAATTCTTTTGGTTTTAATTTGCTCTTTTTCTAGTTTCTTAAGATAGAAGCTGAGGTCATTGATTTGAGACATTTCTGACATTAACTTCAGATGGGAGGTAAACAGGAAAAAATAGTTTTAAAAGGGCACAAAAATCGTCAATAACTTCTGATTTCCTTTAAGATAAAACCCACATCTTTAACTTGTTATTCATAAACCCATCTAACCTGAATTTAAATTTAAGATGATAAATTGAGCATACCCAGTTACCTCCCCTTCCATCTAAAAGCCTATTAAAATGATAGTAAAGGAATTTTAAAAAGGGACAGGTCCACAAAAATGAAAAGCTGTATGTGGGAAGGGCATTAGTGGACAAACGGTATGAAAGTTTTGGAAGTTTCTGGAAAGATGTTGATAGATAAAGCAGAGCAAGAAAAACATACATGAAGCTGTAGAGAGCAAATAGCAGGTCAGCTTGGCAAAATCCTGGGAATCACTTGATTTAGAAATGGGACTGAGAAATGAAACTGAAAACAGGCAGGTTAGTTAAAGACATTTTTAGAGCTTCCTGTTCTGAATTGTATTAATTGCTTTCTCGGAAGTTGTACAGCTATCTTTTTTAGATTTCACTGGGCTTCAGGAGATTGTTTTCCATATTTCTTATGTACATACCTTTTTCTTTATTGGATTCCATCCTCATTTTACTGGAGTAGATTCTCAAATATCTCCCTTCAGAAGTACTGCTCCTTTGGATGTAGTATTTGGAAATGTTTAGGGGGGACATTTTTGATTATTACACTGTCTGGTGGCAGCGGCACTTCTAAGTCTTTAAAAACTTGAGTCCTCGAAAGTGAGTGAAAATGAGTTTTCTCTTTGCTCTTGCATTTGATTGATAATTTGAGTAGCTGAAGAATTCTTGTCAAAATTATTGTGTCCAATATTCAAAATGATTGTCTCCAATATCAGAGAATTGCTTATATGATTTCCAGTACCCATGATTGCTGATGAGACAGCCAATGTCAATCTGATTCTTATTCATTTGAGTGCATAAAAATTGGTAAAATTTGCTTTTGAGTGGCTATGGCAAATACATACATATATGTTTACAAATAATTGTATCAAATATTTCATATTATATTTTTTATTTTGTATTTTTCAGACAATGAATGATTTTGACTATTTGAAACTACTAGGTAAAGGCACTTTTGGGAAAGTTATTTTGGTTCGAGAGAAGGCGAGTGGGAAATATTATGCTATGAAGATTCTGAAGAAAGAAGTTATTATTGCAAAGGTAACTGAAATTTTTCTTTATGCTGTGCACACGTGTGTGTGCTCATGCATGCCATGAATAGTGTAGAAATTCCATTACATAACCAAAATGTTGGTTGTAAGCAACTGCTACAATAATATCTGTATATTAATATTTATACTAAATCTTCAAAAGTTTATATTATCTGAATGTTATACAGTGAAGCTATTTTATTCCCTCGAGGAGATAGAAATCTTTATTGTATTTGTGTTTGGGAGAATGTTTTTGCTATATATTTGTGACGTATATCACTAATTATACTAATGTTGCTTTTTAATACTTTCTCCCAGCATTCTGAATTTCTTATTAAATAAAAGTGATAAGAATAATATAGATGATTTGTACCCATAAATTATACAGCTTCTATAACATTGAATGGGAAAGCATCCTTAATAGATTTCAAAATACTGAAATAATGAAACTAAAAGAAATGATAGTCTTTGAAATTCTTTCACGAGCTCCTAACCCCTTGCCTGTAACTTTATTCAGCTTAGACAAATAATTAGCATGTTAATGGTGCCAATTCTCATTCTGGGTTCTGAATTGAATCCCAATTCTCTCAGTAGAAAAATTTCATACTTTATAAATTGGTCCATGCTTTTCGACTTGCTAATTCAACAAGTGACATGTGATATTGTTGCGCTTCATAGACTGCTTTGACTTTCAGCGATTTGCTACAATAGTTTCCTCATCTGGAGTGCGTTGCTCCACACACTTTATGAAGCTGTGCTCCCCCATCTTTGTACGTTCGTTTCAATCTCATCCTTCACAGTCAATGTCTGGTATTGGAAATAACATTGACCTGGACTCATACAGGCCTGGGTTCCTATCCCAGCTTTGCGTGTTATCACCTAATGACTTTAACAGCCAGCTTTGGGCGGGGAAGAGGGGGGTGGGTACTGCTCCCTCGGGAACGTTTGTAAATGTTTGTGGGGCAGCATAGCTGCTCATCGCCATGACCGAGGGGAGGAAAGCTAACTATGGACAGTCACCCGCGAGAGACGCAGCTTTCTGCATGTCCTGCAGTGTGTTGAGCAGCCCAGCAGAGTCTTAGCTTTTTCATTTGTAAAAATTTCATTTGTGAAAAGAACTATTCCTAGGCAGGAATATTAGGAGGACTAGGATATATAAATTATTCAGCATAGTACCCAGCATGTATTGTAATTAAACTGATATTTCCTGGGGGGTAGTATAGTATAGTAGTAGGCTCTGCTACTTACTAAATGATCCTAAACAAATGACTCAACTTTTCATGCCTTTGTTTCCTCATCTGCAAAGTGAGCATAATAATAGCGCTCATGTCTCATAGGGTTGTAGTCAGGATTAAATGAATGAATAAATTTAGTTACATATTATCAAATAAGATGAAATTAAAATTAAAATAGTATTAAATAAGTATATTATTGCTATCAGTATTTACTGTGGTTATTAGTATTGCCATCTAGTGTGTGTCACATGAGTAATTATCGTTTCCACTCTGTTTTTCCTTTTATACATAAGCCTCACACAGATCCTGTCTTATCTCACTGATTAATTATACTTTTCTGAGTAACTGTACAGAACTGGGTATATTTCACAGCTGATAGAATAGTCTGATTGATGTAGATCCTTACTGCTTTCCCCAACAAATCCATTTATTAATTTCTTGAAGGAAAATCCTCATATGCTTATTCACAGCAAAATGATTAACAGTGTGACGTTGTAGAGCCTGACAAGACCTGGGGTTTGAATCCTGAGGCGTCTGTCTCAGAGAATCATGTCAAGGAGTAAATGATGTCTATACACCTGATGACTCTTGACATTAACCTCTGCCACTTGATTAAACTATTGTCTACCAGGTTTCTCTGGTGTAAAGTTAATGTTTCCCCCTTTATAATAAATAAATGCCTTGCAGGAAATGCTCCTTGAGAGTATGCGAGTATCGTTTTCCTCCTTAACCTTGTGCTCACTGTTAAACATCTATCAGTGGATCTTGTCTACAACAATCACTGCTGTGGTGATTTTCTGTTTCCTCATTCTTTATACATTTATCCTTAGTCAAACTAAAAGTTTGTCAATTTTGTTCATCTTTTCAGAGAACCAACTTTTTGTTTCATTGATTTTTCTCAGTTTTTCTATTCTCTTTTTAATTTATTTCTGCTCTAATTTTTATTATTTTCTTCCTTCTGTTAGCTTTAGGTATAGTTTGTTCTTTTTCTGGTTCCTTAAGTTGTAAAATTATGTTTTGGATTTGAGACCTTTTTCTTTTCAACGTAAGTGTTTAAGGCTATAATTTCCCCCTTAACACTGCTTTTGCCGAGCTCCATAAATTTTGGTATGTTGTGTTTTTGTTTTCATTCATGTCTCAGTATTTGCTCATTTAATTTCCCTTGTGATTTCTTTTTTCATCCATTGGCTGTTTAAGGGTGTGTTCTTTAATTTCCACAAACTTGTGAATTTTCCAGTTTGCCTTCTGTTGTTGATTTGTAACTTTATTCTATCATGGCTGGAGAAGAGACTTGGTATGATATCTGTCTTTTTAAATCAGTTGAGACTTAGTCTGTGGCATAACATATGTTGTATCTTGCAGTATGTTCCATGTGCACTTGAGAAGAATGTTTACTCTGTTGTGGGATAGAGTGTTCTGTGTGTCTGTTAGGTCTCCATGATTTATTGTGTTAAGTCTTCTATTTCCTTACGTATTTTATCAGTTTTTTCAATCCCATTATTGAGAGTAGGGTATTGAAGTCTCCAACTAGAATTGTACAACTATATATTTGTCCCTTCAATTCTGTCCATTTTTGCTTCATATGTTTTGATAGTTTGTTATTAAGTACATAAATGTTTATAATTTTATGTCTTCTTACTACATTTATCCACTTTTTAATACATAATGTTTTTCATCTCATATAACCTTTTATTATTTATTTATTTATTATTATTTATTTATTTTTGTCTAATAATGCGACAGCCACCCCTGCTCTATCTTGCTTTGGTCATGGAGCATATTTTTCTACACTTTCACTTTCAGTATATTTGTTTCTTGGGATCTAAAGTAAGTCTCTTATAGATAGCATATAATTGGATCATGGTTTTATTTATTTATTTTAATTCATTCTGGCAATATCCATCTTTTGATTGGAGAGTTCAATCCATTTAGATTTAAAGTAAATGCTAATAAGGAGGTACTTAGTTCTGTCACTTTGCTATTTCTTTTCTATATGCTTTACAGTTTTGATGTCCCTCATTGTCTGCATTATGGCCTTCTTTTGTGTTTAGATGATTTTTTTAGTGAAACATTTCCATTCCCTTCTCATTTTCTTTTCTGTGTACTATAGCTATTTTCTTTTAGTGGTTAACATGGGGATTACATTTTATATTCTAAAGTTATAACACTCTAATTTGAATTTATACTACCTTAACTTCAATACAAAAACTGCTCCTCCACTGCTCTGTTCCAATCCCTTTTAAGTGATTGATGTTGTAAAATTACATCTTTATGCATTGTGTGTTGAAAAACATAGACTAATAAATTTTTATAGTCTCTTAAGTCATGTAGAGAATAACAAGTGAAGTTGTAAACCAAAGTTAAAATAATACTAACTTTTAATATTGTCCATCTATTTGCCTCTACCGAAGATTTTTATTTCGTCATACATTTTCAAGTTGCTGTCTAGTGTCCTTTCATTCCAACCTGAAGGACTCCCTTTAGCATTTTGGCAGGGCAGCTCTAGTGGTAATGAAGTCCCTTAGCTTTTGTTTATCTGAGAATGTCACTTTCTTCCTCACGTTTGAAGGATAATTGTGCTGAATATAGGAGTCTGGGTTGATCTTTTTTTTTCTGTTTAGCACTTTGGATATATCAACCCACTCACTCTGGTATCCAAAGTTTCTGATAAGAAAGCTACTGATGTCTTTATTGGGGGTCCGTTGTATGTGACACGTTGTTTCTCTCTCACTACTTTCAAGATTCTTTCTCTGTCTTTAGCTTTTGACAGTTTGATTATACAGTAATCCCCTCATCCACAGGGAATACCTTCCAAGACCCCCCCAGTGGATGCCTGAAACTGTGGATAGTACTGAATATGTTATATACTGGTTTTTATATACATACCTACCTGTGATAAAGTTTAATTTGTAAATTAGGCACAGAAAGAGATGAATAACTACTAATAAAATAGAACAATTATAACAATATACTATAATAAAGTTATATGAGTGTGGTCTGCTCTTTCAGAATATCTTATTGTGCTCTACTCACCCTTCTTCTTGTGATGATGTGAGATGATATGATGCCCATGTGATGAGATGAAATGAGGTGGATACTGTAGGCACTATTATGTAGTGTTAGGCTACTATTGACCTTGTACTACTGATGATATGTCAGAAGGAGGATCACTTGCTTTGTGTGATCCTGGATCATCAAGCCATGATGATTGACTTTGGGTAACTGAAACTGTGGAAAGTGAAACCGCAAATAAGGGGGGACTACTGTAATGTGGTTTGGTGTGGGTCTCTGTGATTTACCCTTCTTGGAGTTCATTGAGCTTCTTGGATATTTATGTGTTTGTATTTTATCAGATATGGGGACATTTCAGCCAGTATGCCTCAAATATTCTTTCTCCTGAAATGCGCACAGTGCGTATGTAGGTCCCCTTGATGGTGTCCCACAGTTGCCTTAGGCAATGTTTACTTTTCTTCAATTTTTTCTCTCTTAATCACTCAGATTGTAATTTCAATTGTCCTGTCTGCAAGTTTGCTGATTCTCTCTTCTGCCTGCTGAAATCTGCTTTGAATCTCTATGTGAATTTTTCTTCCCAGTTATTGTCCTTTTAAGCTCAAGAAATTCTTTCTGGTTTCTTTTTATGTCTTCTGTCTCTTTAAAAAATGTAGATGTTTTGTCATTGGATTAACATTTGATTTTGCCAGTCTTAAATATTGAATGGCTTACAGATGCACTCAGATTCACTTACTCACTTACTTATTCACTCTCTGTCATGCAA